TTTTCTCAAATACTATCAACTTTACAGAAAAACTGTAAGAGACAAAAATTGTTTATTTTCTACTCATAAAGTTCTGAGAATTTTTTCAGAATTTTTTAATACCGTATTTTCTCATAATGGTAAAAATAAGAAAATGCAGTACTAAAAAATTGATAAAAATTCTGAAAAAATTCTTAGAGTTCTATGAGAAGAAAATAAACAATTTTTGTTTCTTGCAGTTTTTTTGTAAAATTGATAGTATTTGAGAAAAAAATTATTGAAGACCAATATTCGGCAATTTTCGGTAATTAATATCTTGTTAACTATTGCGAAAATTACAAAATAGTAGAGGACTTTTCGACTCAGTTTGATTCACTCTACCTGCTCATGATAAGTGATTTAATCGGTTAATAACACCCTGTATGTATACACATATATAAAGCGACGTGAAAATTGTGAAAATTACAAAATAGTAAAGGACTTTTCGACTCAGTTTAATTGGGCAGCTCTATCTGCCCAAGAGCGTTGTCAGGTGAATTATAGGACACTCTGTATATATGTGTATATACAGAGTATTAAATGAACGTCGCACATCTGCGAACATTTTGGACCTAGATTTCTTTCTATAGGGCTTTATCAAAGAGAGTTTTTTTTAAAGAGAAACAAAGCCTACGACACGTGACGACATGAAAGAAAGAATCCGACAAGCTTGTGCTGCCGTAACACCCCAAATGTTCGCAGATGTGCGACGTTCGTTTAATACTCGAATTAACAATTTTGAACACTTGTTACAATAAATTTTCCTATGCCTTTCTATTGTACTTATTTCATTATTCGCACCCATTCCTCAAAATTTCTGAATTTTTCATACTCACAAGGTCATGTGAAGATCATGGTATTATAGACCATTGGATTCGTCTTGACCTCAGCTATTACGCTATAATGATAAAAATATGTAGTCCTATTTAAAAAAATATCGATGACCTTGAATATCGATGAAGGCTCTAAAAATATGACCTTGAGAGAGAAATAATTCCCTTAATGTGTGTCCTTTCGGACCAAACAATTTCTTCCTTAGGCATTTTCGCGTATCATTAACGGTAACGGAGATTGCCTTGTAACAGAGTTACTGAGACACCCTGTATATATCGAAAACTATGATACAACTTTTGTTTGAAACATTTTTCGGTATCTATCATAGTTTTCGAGAAATCTTAATGCATTATTTAAAATAGGACATCCAAAATGTATATACATTTCAGGGCATATTTATGACAAAAATTTTTTGGCTGATATTATATTATAGCTGATATTAGTTTCTTAATTAATTTTTTGACAAATACTTTTAGCCAGGGTTAGGTAATAACTAGTTAATAAATTCAAAGTTAAATAAAAAGTTAAAAGGATATTGATAACTTTTAATTTAGTAAATTTTAAAGGAATTAATTTTTAACTTAATTTAATTACTTTTAAACTTTAATTTATTAACTTTTTCTTTTCAAGTTAAAGTTCTTTTTTTATCTCTTTAAACGCCAATATTATTTTCTATCAAATCTTAAACATTAGAGAATTAGTTCAAAAGAAGCTCAATAATTGATAGATAATAATTAATGGACGCGATGCTTGTAGTACCCAGAGACGAATGTGCGTTGGATTTGCATTTAAGAGACACTAATAAGCGGAAGCACAGAGTCTTGCATAATGCATAATACATAAGAAACTGAAATAATCAAAGTTCTTCATTTCCTTCCTTTCCATGAAATAAAAGATTCTGATTGGTTGATTTTCTTATGCTTTATGCATTATGTGTTATGCAAAAATCTGTGCTCCGACATTATCAGTACTATTGCGCCATGCTATTCTTGTTTTATTACCTCTCTAATAATGAGCAACAAAGAAAGAATAAGCCTTTTATTTACATATAATTTTCAAAGAACGTACATGTAGGCCAACACAAAGAGGAGTACACAAGAGTATCTATATTTTTAAAAATTACATTTTATATTTTTCTTTTATAATATAAATATAAAAATATAAAAGTACTAAAGATCAGTTTTTTATTGTACAAGAAATAGCTTTGTTATTTCATAAAATTTACAAATAAAATATTAAATTTATCTGATGACCTATATTATATTGCAATTGTTTTATGTTATTTAAAGTAATCTGATTTTAAGAAAAATTAAGGTATTTTAATAAAAACAATGTTTTTCAATATTAACCTTTTATTTAACTTGTGTTAATTCAATCTTAACGTAACTTTAATTGAATCAGTTTTTTGTTCATTCAACTTATTTTAAAACTAATTTTATAAGTTCTTAACTTTAACTTAATTTTTAGGTAAAAAAAATATTGACTTACCCAACTTTGCTTTTAGCAGCTGATGTATTATACAGCCAAAATATCCTTCACTAGTACGTAAAATGTATAAACGCTAATTAAATATTCGGTTTTATAACACCAGTTGTCACAAAGTCAGATATATTTGACTTAGCATTTATATGACATTTTACGACAGTATTTATAATAATTACGGAGACATGTAAACGTACGTAGTCGCTCCATAACGCAGTGAATCATTTTATCTTTATTTAACATTGGTAAACAACAAGGATAAAATGATTCACTGTGTCAATTGTGTCACTTGATGGAAAACGCTTTAGATTATCAATAATATGTTATTAATATAGATAATATTATTAAAATTAAAAAAATAATTATTAATTTTTTGTTTAACATATGGAAAAAATTAATTCCGTTCATAATCTATTTCTTATAATATAGCTGCACCATGCTGTACTTTTTATATTTTAAATAAGATAAATGAAATTAATTAAAAACTTGTCGGCGAGAAAGAAAGCGAAGGTGAAAAAATATAAAATATTTAGTTACAAGAACAAATCTTAGCTCGCCGCGAACTTTGATTTTATCTTCAATTCGCACGTATTCTCGGTGAGCGAGTTCCGAGTCTCTCATAGAATATTATAATACTTATTGTTAGTGAGGTAAATTTTTAGTTCCGCTAGGATACATTTTCAGATGTGAACGTGAATATTTTTCATTTGCCTTCTCTGTAGCTTGTACTTTTTACGAATCCTCGAACGAGAAACGAAGCGTGCGCAAGGTCGAGCGATACATAGAGAGTGTCCGAAATCGAAGGCTTAAGTTTTGTGTTTTTCTCATGCTGTTATCCTTTGCGCTTTTAACGTAAAATTAAATAAAGATTATAGAAATTAATGGAAAGTGGAAGAATGATCGAAAAATAATTTACCATTGATAAAATCTAAATTTCCTAGAAAGAATATTCTTTAATATTCTTAAAATTTGTCTTTTTTCCTTTCTTTTTGGCAGCGTTTTCTATGATTTCTCGTCGCTTTTTTTAATTATTTTCAAATTCTAATCACATACATATCTGCTGTACGTAAACGCAAAAGATTAAAAAGAAATTTATTTATAAGCGAAAGTAAGAAGAAACGAGTTTAATTTCTTTAAGAAAAATTTTGTTTTTCTGGGCACTTTATATACGTCTTTTGCGTTCTTGCACTTTTGCGTTCTTGCACGGCAATGCAAACGTGTATCGTTGGTATAGTTCAATAAAGCGTGGACTATGGAATTCCTGGACATTGATTTATATTTAACACTTAATCGCATGTAAATGCGACATTACGAAATACACGTCAAAGTTTACGCAGTTATTCAATTACGCTGTAGTTGCATCTTATACATCTTTTCTAAACTCTTTGAAGATCTCCTTCCACATTTTCAGAAACTGAGTAAGTGCATGTGGTTGTTCCGTTGCAATAATAAAGGATTGCTAGGAAAAGCGCAGCGAGACCCGCAAATTGATCCATACCGCGATTCGCGCAAGTATGGAGACTTGCGTCTTTGTACCTGATGTACATGTATGTATGTTCAAAGTTCATATTTTCTTTTCCTTCTTTAAATAAATTTATTTTTTAAATAAATGTTTGACACATCGAAATTGCTCCACGTTGTTATTTAATGCATACATTTTGACTAAATCTCTGCCTAGCTGCGCCTTTATCTCTCATCTCTTTCTATCTGCAATGCTCGGCAAACGAATACCTACAGTCTGAAGAACTTGTTGTGGCAACTTCCTTCTCCAAGAAGAAGAAGAAGAAAAAGAAGAAGAAGAAAAAAGAATGTGGCAACTATGTTCCATATAGAAAGTAAAATAATGTGATTATCAATAACATATAGCGGAATTTGCTTTTTTGATTATGTGTACGATCTGCCATCGTACGAAGATACCGGAGAGCAGATACCGAATATACAGAGAATCATGCTGGCGCTCGGATTTCACATTGAAAATTCGCCGAGTAAAAATAGAACGTCCTCATATATACGTGCACGTGGCACACAAGCATGCAATAGTGCGTGCGCTCGCGGCCACAAGTTCGCCGATTACACCGTGTATTGCATTGTTACTTGTTACCGGCGCGGGTGTGACAAATGTGTTTTCATATGATGCACTATGGTGTTCAGAGAATACAACCTATGTGTAATGTTGATTCTTAAACGAATTCCCATGTAAAAATAGCAACAGAGCTCGTGCGACAACAAAACGCGATGTGCTTATCACCTGTAACCAATGACATTATTTCACACACAAATCGAATATATATTCTTTTTTCTTTGTTTTTGTAAATAAAGTTATTCATCACGGAATTGATTCCTGTAGTGCAATTAATTATGCAAATTCTGACTGCTGTGTTATTTTGTTGATGCTGCGCATTGTCGCGAGCAACGACAGTGTTTATTCTAACAATAAGTAGAAACTAAATAAAATTTGATCTCTTTTTTAGTAAAAAAATCTCATAATAATTTTAATATAAAATATGTATAAGACTGATTAATGTTATAAATTTTGATTTTAAGCACATATATGTGTACTTTATCAATTTGCGGCAGTCTCGGAAAATTTTTCGGAGGACTCCCGATTCTCCACACAATTTCGTTTAATTCCTGACTAATTTTTTATTTTACACCTCAAGACATACCTTGATTCTCGTCTATTGTGTCTTTCATATTGTCCGGCACGTAACAAAGTTCGCGACGCGCGTTCAGAGATTCTCAAGAGCGTATAACACAAAGTGCACAGTATCAACCGATGCCGACGTGGACTACAATCTGACTAATCGGCAGATCGCCACTACGCGCGGTTCCTAATTCCTTCCGCGTCTTTTGATTGTCACGGCCGCGTTGCCGCGTTGCCGCGTTGCCGCGTGTGCCGTATACTGGCTGACGATAGCGATCGCGGACAGCCAATACCGTTGTCCCTGGTTGTCCCATTTGATTTAGACAACGCGCAAACATACGCGCAGACGCATTTAGGCAGCGTGCACACGTAACATAGATCTGTGTATACAAGTATAAGCGCGCGTGTGTAGAAACATAATTGTCCTTCTGAGAAAGCCATTATCTAAACTTCTAAACTTTAAGTCTTAAAAAAATTGAACAATTAATTATAGTCGATTATATCCCTCTCATACTCGACTGTGATTAGTCAATTTCTTACGGCTTCAGACTTTAAGCTTAGGTAATGGCTTTTTTGTAGAAAGCTTAATACACAAAACGAAATGCGAAAGTAACGTTGTATTTTACTGTCAAATCACTTTTGAAGAACTCGAAACGTCGCAATAGAAAAAGCATAATATTAAAATGAAATTTCTATGTCTCATTACTCAACTCGCAGTTATAATTATGTACGTATGTATATTACGTATATTTAATTGATGCAACGCTCATGTATTGCGACATGACAAAAAACGGTTACTCGTTTATGACCTTGTAATTAATTGTACATCAGGCTCTATTTTCACGATTTAGTTACCCACACGTGCTAGTTGAAGATTTATTTTATCTTGAAGATTCACAGAAAGTGACTAAATTGATAAAATCGATAAAACTTGAGAAAACATTTCAAAAAAATTATTTAGCTTTTTTTCTATTTCTTTATCTTTACTGTGAAATATTCCGCGCATATTTCTGAACGCGATCTTATAAGTATTCGGATGTAAGAAACAGTTCACAGTTTTCATTCGGAACCCATTAAGATAATTTACATGGCAATCAATCTGTCACAGATCTGTCGAGTCTTTATAGAAAATGTTTACCGTGGAAGACGATTTGTATGGAAATGCAACATCATAATTGGAAATGATCGCGGATATCTTGCAATTTCCTTTAACCCTCATTTGATACGATATATTGATATTATTAAATTTTTTTAATATATACATATTAAAATTTTTTCGCGATAAACGGACCATAATTCGATTCACTACGCAGATTCTCTGGTAAATTTTAAACGCAAATTTGTTCAGTTTTCCTACTTTTTCGTTTGATTCGTTCTGCTTCATGATTTTCGGATTATATAATCGATTTAAATTAAATTAAATTAAAAATGATGGTGTTTATGTTTCGCTTCACTCTTTTTTCTTTTTTATCATTTACCTCAATTATATTTATCACTCTTGTGGACATTGCGAGCATCAGTTCAATCTATGTGTATAAATCATATTCATATATTGATGTGTGATTTATTGATTCAGTGATGTGTTTAAAACAGAATAGTCATATATAATTTGTCTTCCTTTAGTCGCTCTACTGATCTTCATTAATCCGCGAGGAGCTACTTTATCAGTGTTCTTGATAAATGCACGATCATGGCAAGACAATCATAATTACAATCTTTATAATTACGCCGCGCTAACACGAGAATTCTAATCTTCGCATATGACGTAAAAATACGCACGAAAGGGGATAATTTTCGAGATGCATAATACGACTATTCCGTACGATCTTTCACACTTTCTCCTTTCTCTCTTCTCCTATCATTCATGTCATCTGGAAAAGTATCGCAATTTATCGTCCCGTTATTAAAGCACTCTGATACGCCTTATAACGTACATTAATATATACGTAATATTTTATCTACCGCGAGAAATTTTTACCGAAACATCGCGCGAGTTTATTACAAAACTGATGAAAAATTTCCATGTTATTTTAGCTAACCACTGAATTAATTCGCGTTTACTTTATCCATGTATATAATAGTAATGGAAAATAGAACAGTACGTACAATGGAGTTTAACATCGGTGTATCACCTGTGTTACGATAACATGTGAAAAAGGTCTTTATAAAGAAATCTCTCGGTAAAGACCGATATATACACTGCCAGTATTGAAAATTTTTAGTTCACGTTACGTATAGAATTTCAGTACTAGCAGTGTATATCCGAACATGGCTAGGATGACAATTGACATTCGAGAGGACTCTATTCATGGCCAGTATTCATGCGCTACATTTTTCCAAAAAGTGTTTGTCGTAAATGTGATTCTTTGCTCATATTGACAAAATTTGCACGACTTTTAATGCTATATTTAATATTAATCCTTTATTCGGCAGAAGAATCTATGATTCGAGATGCGATTAAAGGCGCACAACATGAGAACAGCGCTAAATCCTCGCGCGTATGTCCGCGCTTTTCGAACTAATTGTAAAAAAAGACTCGTCCACTCACAGATCGTAATACTTGTATATAGTATTCGGTAAGAGCAAGCGTTAATAAAAAAATTTAGTCGTCATAACAAATACGTAGAGATAAGAAATAAAATAACGTTGCCGAATAAAATCATGGGCTCTTGAGCGATAAAAGAATCCTTCGAGACGTTATCACCCTTTTACGTTATCGCAATTTCGCTCAATTCAAGTGCAGTCCGTTGTGTGACCGTTCCCCCTTCCGAGTCCGTTATTCAGAGCTGTCAAGAGTGGATACTTTCCGCATCCACACAGGCCCTTGAAGTCGTCCAAGTCTAAGGACCAGATCATTCCACCCCCAAGATTCAGCTTATTTATTAGCTCAGCCTGAGAATGAGACAGATGATTTATAATTACGAGGATTACAGATAGATTCGATAAAAATAATACGAACGTATAATATCTATAAGTAAACGAATCGAGATCAAATTAGCAAACGCTTTAAGATTGCAAAATAATACGCTGAATTCTTACTCGATGACTGTTTGCAATATATCGCGTCTACATAATGAATCATGCATTTGTACAACGAACCGTTTGTGCAGAACGAACGAATGATGTATATACATATTTAAACGCGTATATATCATGTGATTCCCATATATTGTTGCACACATACCTTTTTGGCTACGTTAGATATGTCGTCATAGCTGACCCATTGATCGCGTTTCGACGCGTACGGTCCCACGCGGCCCTCCGAATCTTTCGTCACGGACCAGCCGTCGTTCTTCACATTATCACATATCTTGCGTAGCAATATCAAAGAGAGTGAAACATTTTATTTAATAATATGTCCCAATATTTAAAGGACTACAAATATGGTATATGTATATGCTAGTACACACACACACACACACACACACACACACACACACACACACACACACACACACACACACGCACACGCACACGCACACGCACACGCACACACACACACACACACACACACACACACGATGACCCATTTTAATCGACGGATCCAAATATCTTCTAAAATACGCCAGCTACAAAAAAATGGTTGGAACAAAAATTGTGTCGAGGACAATGAGAGTCATTTATCTGTGCTAATAATTTTGACCTTTAGGTCGATTTTGAAGGTTATTTGAAGGTCAAGGTCATTTTTTTAAATGGAAATTCCTATTTTTGACACCGTATTCGAAAAGAGCGGGAAATTTTACGTTATGAAATGAAATGATATTTTAGAATTTGTTATTGTGAGTTTAAGGTCAAATCAAGGTTAAATGATTAAAAAGCATTTAGAAGCTATTGAGTCAAATTTGATGGGTTTCCTGGGCATAATAAACGTTTGAAGTATCTTTAGCAGGTAGGTAGGATGCAAAAGTGTCAATGACCTTGACGTTAAAGTTAATTTTCAAGGTCAATTGAAGAATGTTTTTAATAGTCAAGGCGATTTCGAGGTAATGTGATTTTTGTATATTTTTATTTTGGTAATCAGAGATTTATTTTAGTAATCTGTGTTGTGATCGAGTTCTATTCTTTTGGTGTTGCTAAATAACTGAGTATTTTTTTATTTATCATTAATATGTTTATTATTTAAACTTGATTGAAATTGAAATTAAAACTTTGTATACAGGGTAATGTAACTTTAAAACACATTTTTAAATATGGCTGACTATCCTCCTAATGAAATTGTTGATATGATATTAGTTTTAGGGGGATATCATAACAATTACGATGCTACGTCAAGGCTTTATGCTTACGCTTTCCAAACAAGAGACATCCCAACAACACGACAATACGAAGATCTTTTAACCTTGATTTAATCTTCTTAAACTAACAATAACAAATTCTAAAATATCATTTCAAACGTAAAATTTCCCGGTCTTTTCGAATCCGGTGTCAAAAATAGGGGTTTCCATTTTAAAAAATGACCTTGACCTTTAAATAACCTTGAAAATCGACCTAAAGGTCAAAATTATTAGCACAGATAAATGGAGGACATGCAAAGTCCCGAAAAAAAATGTCCCGAAATTTAAGAACTGTGATAATGTCCCGAAAGGTCATAATCCCGAAATCTTAGAAATGAGAAATATCCCGAAAAGGACATATATAATATCGCAAATAATGATTGAATCGATGTCTCATATAGCGCATTTTGCGTCGTAATATCTCCGCTTGTAGGGTATGTAGAGAAGCTTTTTGAACAGCTTCTTCAAAATGGTCGTTACTGTGCCGTAAAGATGAATTCTAATTTCTGAAAGATAAATGACCCTCATTATCCTCGATAATTTTTGTCCCAACCATTTTTTTGTAGCTGGCGTATTTTAGGAGATATTTGGATCCGTCGATTAAAATGAGTCATCGTGTACATATATATACAGGGTGTCTGGTAGCGACCGCAAAATATTTCGTGCGTGGGTAGAACAGACTACACTGAGTCGAAAAGTCCTGTACCATTTTGCGGTGTCAGCAATAGTTAAGGAGATATTAACGATTTAAAGATAACCGAATAAAAGCGTCCGGTCGGCCTACTACTGCCGAATGTACAACCCACCGGCCACGATCGCACGGCGCGCGGGCCGCTGGGAGTGGGGATGGCCTATCAGGCGCATCGTGCCGTTCGAGCTTAGTGGCTCGCGGCGGTCAGCGGGATGCTTGCCCCACTCCCCGCGATCGGTGGGTTGTACATTCGGCAGCAATAGGCCGGTCGGACGCTCTTTTTCGATTATCTTTAAACGTTAATATCTCCTTAACTATTGTTGACACCGCAAAATGGTACAGGACTTTTCGACTCAGTGTAGTCTGTTCTACACACGCACGAAATATTTTGCGGTCGCTACCAGACACCCTGTATATATATATAATTCACATTGAATTATTTAAGTATTAAAGATCTAGCTTCGACCGGTATAGGCATATTAATTTCTAGTATTGATTATATTCTCACATGTTACAGTCTAAAATAAGATTCTTAATGTCTCAATATTGTTGTGATTCGATGTATACAGCGTAGCTGATTCTTACCTCGTGATAGGCTAGGAACCCAGCCGATCTCGTAAACTTGCCGGGTTCTCCAGGTCCATCGGCCTTCACGTGGAAGCCCGGTCTGTTCAGAGACTTTTCAGACAAGGTGAAACTTGATCCGTAGGCGGGTATGCCCAGGACGATCATTTCGGCTGGCACGCCCTTATTGATCCAGTACGTCACGGAGAAGTTCGCATTTAAGAACGGGCTGACATCGTCGGAGTGATGATAAAGCGGTGCGACATGACCGGTTTTGCTTCCCATACCAATGTGATAGTCGTACGCTACCACGCCGATCCAATTCACGTACCGTGCTAAGAGCGGAATGTGGGTGTAGCCTCGATCGACGACGATCTTGTTC